TGTTAAACCCATATGCTGTAAAAGCCTTGATCTTCTCTATTTATGATTTATGTTGGATTTATGATTTTCTCCTTGTTGAGTTCAGCTGGTCTGTCATTTTATTTTGATTGAACTGCATATCTGCACTGTTGTGGGTGCTTGGGATTTGTGTGCAAGGGTCAAAGAAGGTCTGAAATTTAAACCAAATTTTTGGAAAGTACTACAAGAAAAACATGTTTATCAATTTGAACAACTTTCTAAAGATATTATAAGAACATTAGAAAGATTACAAAAAATGAAAGATGGCTACTTGTCACATCTGGACCATTTGGTAGTCAGTGGCAGTGGTTTTCATCCAGCCATTTCTTTAAAGAACCCAGGATATCAGTTCAACAACATGACAGGAAAGCTCCATGAAGAAGAGGTGAAGATGTGCTTCCTGTTATTGGTTTTAAAGTAGTTCTACATAGTTTCCACTGGTTTGTGTCTTACTCATCACTCACTTTGAAGAATCTGCTGGTCTGAGATTGTCAATACATTTGTGGATTTTGAATACTTGTAACAGGTACCCTCATTCATAATCATCTCTATTCAAGACTAAAGTTCCTTCAGGTTGTCAATGTAAGATATTACTTTAAGCCCCAAAATGTATCTGGTTTCTCTTCTTTTGACTGATTTAAATTGATTTAAAATTAAGTTTAGCACTTTCTGACTGTTTATGTATTTTCTTTGCTTTTTTAATTGCTTCCCCAGATTGTCTGGATGATGTAAACAATATATCAACATAAACATCCAAGTAGCCTCTGATAACTCAACATTTTCCATTTTGTATTTATTTATTTTTTTACTACTGTACCTGTATGCAAAAATCCTGTATTTGTCCTCATTAAATAAATCACCTTGCCAGTTGTTTGCCCAGTCTTGAAATTTGGCTAAATCTTTTATTAACTTAATTTACTGCTTCTACTTTGTTTGCTAATCCTTCTACTAATCTGCTTAACTAGTTTATTAACTATACTGTAATCTAAAGAATTGATATTTAAGAAGGTACAGATCCCTTTACTACTCCATTGATTACATCACTTCAATTACATGTACCCTTTGTTTTCTATTTAATAACCTATTCATCTGTCCCTACTCTTGTTTCCCAGAATATTTCTGCAGACAACAGGTTTAATAATTAAGAAGAGATTATTCTTTTCAGACCCACAGCCATAATGGTCCCTATAAAAGCTATTAAACTGACAACCGGGTAATTATTTATTAGTTTAATGATTCTTGATTAGGTTTGACTGTTGTGTCTCTTGTCAAATTTGTTTCAATTATGTTAACAACTATGTCAAGACATGGCTTTGTTCAAGAAACATCTGGATGTGATCCTCAGATAAATATAGATAGATACTTTATTGATCCCGTGAGGGAAATTGCAGTGCAACAGCAGCAAAGTAGATACAAGCTAAAGAACTATTTGTAACCTTATGTTCTTATAAAGAACAGAAGGGAGAATCTAATTTAAGGCAAGTTCCCAAATGTCTGCTTTTGAAATTAGAACCCTTCAGAGACAGGAAAGAAAAAAAACATATGTTTGGATTAACTCGTAAACTGTGAACCGGACATCTACTTTCAAATTCTAAATTGTGTGATGATTGTTTTTTTTGTTGTTGAGAAGATGCAAGAATCAACTTACCAAAACACAATCAGTTTGGTATTTTCTGTTTTAAAGTATTAAATCATTCAAAATAGGGTCAAAGTTGTTATTTATGTATCTGTGCCTTTGTTTCAGCTTGGTAAACACCACAGAGTTAAGGGGCAGCTAGTGCTTTACATATAGCAGACCAAAGTTGTCTTATCTGTTATAATTAAGAATACTAGGATGTGGGAACCAGTTTTTTTTGGTTCAGCTTAGGTTAACTTGAATGGATCAGTAATTTTTATGAAGGGAAAATAAATCTGTCAAAATTGCATGAAGCTGGGGACTTTGCTAAAAGAAACCATATTTTAAAATATTTTGGTTTTGCCCTAAAGCTAGTGTTACATTTTTTATTAAAGTGAACAAAGTGTAACAGTGAAAAACCTGGCATGCATAAAAGTTCAAAAGAAAGATCTGGGGTTCAGCTTGACTTGACCACTACATATATAAGGCTAGCAAGAATAAAAAATGTAGAGCAGAGTACCCACTTTAACATACAACTCTCTAAAACAGCATAATAATAACAATAATAATAATAATAATAATAATAATAATAATAATAATAATAATTCCTTACACGTAGATAGCACTTTTCTGGACACTCCACTCAAAGCGCTTTACAGGCAATGGGGACTCCCCACCACCACGTGTGAAGCACCCACTCAGATGATGCGACAGCAGCCATAATGCACACAGTACGCTCACCACACATCAACTGTCAGTGGGCAGGAGAACAGAGTCATGAAGCCAATTCATAGATGGGGATTATTAGGAGGCCCTGATTGGTAAAGGCCAATGGTAAATATGGCCAGGACACCAGGGTAACACTCTTACTCTTTTTAAGAAGCACCCTGGGATTTTTAATGGCCACAGAGAGTCAGGATCTCGGTTATAATTCTCATCCAAAGAATGGCACCTTTTTACAGCATAGTGTCCCCATCACTATACTGGAGCATTAGGACTCACAAAGACAGCAGGGTGAATGCCCCCTACAGGCCCCTCTAATAACTCTTCCAGCAGCAACCTAAGTTTTCCCTTGGAGTCTTCCATCCAGGTAATGACCAGGCTCACATCTTAGCTTCAGTGGGTTGCCAGTTGTGAGTTGCAGGATAATATGGCTGCATTTCTCAACTTTAGTGCCCCTGTATAGTGGTGTGTCTTCAGACATTAGCAGACTTTGGGAAAAGTCAGATATTAGAAAAGTAAAAAATGAATAAATTAAATATTGGTTATATTATTTATTGTAGAGTTACCAAAGTATCATGTTGCATGTTAGGCATATACACACAAGACACAGGCCACACTTTGGGAACTGCACATGATAGGAGTGTTTCAACTTTGACGAACATAAAGACAGAGGTCATATAAATAATAGCTCTGTGCGTCACTGTCATCAGTTCCTGCACATTGAAGCAAGTTCATAGTAACTGTAGCGAAAATAAAAAATGAAAACATTTTGTGCAAAAAAACAGGATTGGATTGCAATCATCTATTAATGCATTCATTGAAGCAGAGTAGTTTCGGCTTGATCTAAGTTTTGGTATTAAATAAGCTTGCATTAAATCCATAAAAAATGTGAATACAATACCTTAATGCTATCTGTAAAATTCAGTCGGTCAATAATAATAGCACGATAGTGTCAGTGGGTGACAATGACAAATAGACATGAAGACATTCTTCCTTGGAGATGAGTGATATAGCCCCTGGGGATAAATCACGAAGTGGCTCTTGGTCTGACCAATGTCTCTTAAAAAACATGTTATTATACTATTAAACATATATTAAACTTTATTATTGTTGTTATTATTATCCCTCCAATTACTTAGTGCTTTTTATCCAAAAAGATCCCAAGATTTAGTATATATATTTCATCTACCACAGAAGTGCAGTCATTCAGCGCCAGAAGCTCCATTATCCATTATGCAGTTAGAGACATGAGAAATTCTTGAGAATTAATTAACCAAATGCATTGAGGAGAGACTTTAAGGAAAACCAGACTGTACAGGGCCAGAGTGGAACTCATACAGGACACAGGGGTGAACACCACAATTCGCAATTCTGTTGGAAAGTGTCATAGGATCTTTAATGAGTAGTCAGGACCTGGGTTTAACATCTCATCTGAAGGCTGGCACCTCCTACAGCACAGCAGGAGTTCCCTGTCACCACACTAGGACATTGGTTTTGAAATTCTAGTCCAGAGAGATGCATGACACCTACTAGCCCTCCACCAGTACATACATTAGCAAATAGATTTAATTTTAAGTGTCCCATTTCAGTATTAACCAAGACTACAAGGTCAGGCTACAAGGTGCTATTATGTATATAGTGCATATACAGTAGTTTCCTTTTCTCCACAATAGCAGAATTCTATAATTCTTAGAACTGAAATCATGATCTACAAGAAACGAATGCACCCCGTGCTGTGGTATTTTGTATGATTTTTTCTTTTTTGAAATACAACAGCAAGTAGAGGGGAAAAAACACAATGTCATTAAGACAACGATTTTGTAGAAACATTTTCATTCATCGCTTAATTCATCGATTATCGCTAAAATGTTTTCAAAATGACTGGAACAATAAAGCTACTGCACTTGCCTTTTAAACACCCAGCTTCATAATATGTACATTGTCATTTTGCTTTCTTCAGACATTGCAAAATAAAGATTTTCTGATCATTTTTGTATTTGCATATTTTTACAAAAATGTTTAATTAACTACAGCAGGGAGTACATGCTTCATTTATTAACTAGATTTGGTCGTTTTATTTAGAACATGATTAATAGCTGTAAATTATTTTCTTTTTCCCATTACTTAGTTTCACTTACTAAAAGGTTGCACCTTGTTCCTTTTTTGCCACTGCAATTACTAATTGCTATGCAAATTATTGAAAAAAATCTCAAAGACTGGTTATGTTGCATTTTTTCAGAAACAAACTTAAACCTATTAATTGTATCTGTCTGTGAAGAAACATTTGCACAATGACTGCACTGTTGATATAATTTCTAAATTCTTAATAGTAATTAAACTGGATGTAAGATGAGTTGGGATAAATACCTTTGACGTGAGTAACAACCTAGGGTTTCTGGTAAACATGACAAACACCACAATATAAACATTAACAGATTATTTCTAAAAATACATTTGTAAGACGATGTCACACTATTTCAACAATTACAAAGGAAATATTAAACAGTTTACTGAGAAACTTAAGATTGAAGAAAGACATTTGTAATTGTATCAATTTGCTTTCCATTCAAATATATTATTTCCAAATTTTCTATCTTAAAGATATACTCTTTGAATATTTGTTTTGAAAAATCCATAACAGAAGTTCATTGAATTCTTTATTTTCAGAGATTTTGTACATTTATATTTTTGTAGTTTTGAGCCCTGAAAGATGATAATTGTTGTAACTTAAATGGCTCCCTTGCTTAATTTCAAAATCTTTACAGTAGTTTGTAAGAGTAAACGCTTGTGAGCTTTCTGAATACCTGCTTACTAACCCATCTGTAGTTGAGAATAAACTTTAATTTAATTTTAACAGGAATATATACTTTTATTCACACAGGGAAAAAACAATTTCAAGGTGCCCAAGCCACATGATTTGCACTTCACATTTAGCTAGGGGATAAAACAACTCATGTTAGCAAGGGCACTAGATTATAATCCCCTCTCACAGGTTACTGTTGCACAATGTTTTTAATCACAAATTTGTCACAGATTGCATTTATAACAATGACAGTTTCCGTGGTTGCAGACTTCAACCATCTTAATATTTCACTTTCAAATAATCTAATCTTCAAAGGTTTGACATTGAATTAGATTTTGACAATTAAATAAACAAGTATAAACAAGCCTCAAACACGACCTAATTTTAGCTGTTTGGCAGTTACGCTGCACATGAAGTCGCAGTGATATTAGCTGGTTATGTCAAAGTGAAGCTAAAGGCCACGTTACCTGGTAGTTTAGCTTACTTGAACAAATGTACACCAGATGGAATGCATGGCATGAGCTTTCTTACAAGAAGGCTAGGAAAAATACTTTATAGGTCAATGTTAGTTGAACAGTTGGTTCTGGAGTCTTGCACACATAAATCATCAAAATAATCATACGGTGTAAACAAATACTTATTTTTACCTTTTGTAAATCTTTCTTTCTAGGAGTGATCTTTTTTTTTCCTTCAAACATTCTAGGAAACCTGTTCACAAATTAAAAAGAATGTGATACATCTATTACATTTAGTCAGTAGTGACAGCCATTTGAAACATGTAAACATAGTCAACAGTAAGATTAATTTTTTGAAGAACTATGGCTCAATTATATCTGACAACTCAATGTCTTCCATAAAGTAGAGACACACAAAAAATAAAGAAATCAAAACACTTTCACAGAGCACATTCCAGTGTTTTACATCTGATAGATGTTAGCGTTTTAGTAAAATAAGATAAAACTTTAGGAAACAAGTGCAATTCTTCGGTACTAAATGCTCCTATGATAAAATGTGCTAATATCTTTTTAATTTGTCATTTCAACTTAACTGTAAAGCATATTAGCAAGACACCATTACTAGTGTACAAGTTTATTTAATCTCATCTTCTTCAATCACAATACAACATCTGTTTAAATATAACTGTTGTTTTCCAAACACAGTAGCTGTATTAAAACAGAACTTCAACTACCATTTACTATTTTTATGCCTATTTACATCTGTGGCATATTTCTTTATTTAAACAAAACCTTAAATTACCACAGAATATTGATAAGGACTCTAGCTTTGTATAATTTATAATTAAGGTTTGACTGCTAATCTGGATAACATATGATCTGTTTACAATAACACAGAAGAACTGTCATGTACATGGAGGTACTGTATATAACCTGGAATTTGTCTGATTTTGTATGAGCAAACAGCAATCTGTAATGTAACATTAACATTACAAGTGATACTGATGTACAAATAATATATGATGTAATATGTGTAGGTAATACAGAGAATGATATGCATTAAGAATGGTGTACGTTATATGCTTTGGTATCTTTATAATTTGAAATGAAGTACAATGTTAATAGATGAAGCATACTTATTACAACTGTCCTACAACTGGGTACACCGTACAAAAAAAAGTTTAGTTTAGGAAATAATGTTTTTAACACGACCTCACATGATTTAATCTTGTTCAAGCATACCCTAACCTCTCTTAATTTTGAAGGTGTATTAAAAAATACAGAGTTAACTCTCAAGATTACTTGTTAAAAAGAGAATACTTGTAGATCATGACAAGTCATGGATTTGTAAAAGGGCTGAATACTATTTACCCATCTTCTCTTGAGTTATATGGATTTTAGTTTATCAATAAATTAAAACATCTTGTTGTTGCCATGAGCAAGGCAGCTAAGGATAATAACTGCAATTATGAGACAGTTAAATCAGGAAAGCTAAGTAATAAATGGTGCATCTGAAAATAATGAGGTAACAGAATCAGAGTCAGACTTTATTTTGCTGTTTTTTAAGATGCTTTCTGTCATGACCTGGTCTGATGCAAGCAGCTTAACTTTTCCATTTTGTCCTTCTTGAAGTTCTGTTCCTGGTTCCAAGAATACTACTCTTTTAGCAGTGCTGGCTTTTCTCTCTGGTTGGGCATCATTGCTGGGAGTAGTGCTAAGAATGGAGGAGCGGGCACTACCTGGATTTGGTTTTCTTGGTGTCTTCTTTGTTTTACACCAGCAGCGACAAGGGGTCAGGTAGAGATAGATAAGAACCAAAATAATACTGGCCACACAGGCTGCAAGCGTGGTGAAGGCAGTGTTAAAGGTTTCATGAGGCCGTGACCTGTCACTTGTAGAGTTGCTAACTTTAACTGTGACTTCTATGCTTTCATTAAGGTTTCTTCTATGATTGAGTACAATACAGATATAAATTCCAGTGTCCTTGATTTGTGCATTGCTGAACTCCAGGCTTCCATTTGGAAAAACTTTCAGGTTTTCGTTGCTGTCCCCTGTCTTCAATAGTTCTTTACGTGGAGTGATCCAAAAGAAATTTGAATGTGCATGTGTGATTTTGCTGTCACAGTGGACCACAAGACTGTTTCCTATACGAACCTCATAAATCACTCCTGAAGAGTAGAAGGAGCCATTAACAGTGCTGCTGGAGCAGTTCATAAAGTCATCTGTCTGGGAAAACAGATTAATGGGAAAATCCAAATGAGGCGGAAGGAAACATTTATAATCACCTTTGAAATCTGTAACAGGATGGAATTGTCTTTTCAACCAGTAGGTTAGCATGGTGTACAATGTGCAGTCACAAGTAAGAGGGTTTTCATGAAGATATATACCACACTGTTGTCTGGCTGGCAGTGAAATTATCTTCTGAACAGGCACTTCTTGAAGGGAGTTGAAAGAGAGATCTAAAAATTCAAGTTGAGAAAGTCTGAGCTTTCCAATAAAAAGTTCTAGAGGAAATTGAGTGAGCAAGTTTTTGCTTAAGTACAACCTCTGCAATTTTTGGAGGCCAGCAAAGGAACCTGAGTTTATCTGGGTAATTTGATTATTAAAGAGCAGTAAAACTTCCATCTCTTTGAGGTCTTGAAAGACTGATGCACTCAATACACTGAGTGTGTTGGAGGACAAATCTAAGTATTTTACATTAGGTGCCTTACGGAAAGTGCCAGGAGAAATGTGCTTTATAGAATTGTGATTTAGAATCAGTGTGCCAAGTTTATCAAGACGACCGGCTGACCAGTCAGTGCTCAGAATAGTAATCCTGTTATAGCTCAAGTCCAGTCTTGATACAAATTCAAAATAATTACCAGGCACAGCAGAGAGATTCTTGTTACTGCAGGTTACAATGTCGCTGGCACAAATACAGGCAGCTGGACAGCTCCCAGTCACACTGCTGGCAATACTTGCATAAAAAACTAGTAACACAGTGACATTTTTGTATGTAAATGTGAAACCTCTGGGTGCAGAGCAAGTCACATGGCAATATGAAAACATTTCGCCTCTTTTCTAGCCGTCTTCTGGCAGTTTAAAACATGCAGTTGATCTTGTGGTTACCAATGATAAAAGTGGACCAAACAGCATGGGTATAACCATTTCACAACCAGTCCTTATTTTGCTTCCTTTGAGTAAGGGCTAGAAAGAAAGAAAACATTACTAGATTAAAAACAACAACAACAACAACAACAACAACAACATTATTTTGTTCACACTTAGGAAAATGCAAAGTCATAGTCATAAATCAACTAGTAATAAATAAATCTAATAAATGCTTTAATGCAAAGTCCTAAATCAGCTAGCTCCCTTAACCCTGGTCTTTTCATCATTATGTTCACATAATGATCACATAAGGATCAGATAAATCTGTTTTAAGGTCCATAAACAATAAAGATATTTGGAAAACATTTAAAAAGGACTACATCTGTGAATTTCAAAAGCTCTTTATCAAAATCAATCTTTATTTAAAAACAACCGCTGGCGAAAAGCTACTGTAGCTTTGACAGTCCTGTATATTCTTTACCAGTGTAGCACATACTCTACGTACACTGATTGCACATTTTTACTTTTTTTTTATTTTAACAGCAACAAGTACCAGGCTATCGAAACGTTTATGTAATAATTCCAACAGCTATTTTTTCATTTCAAAAGAAAAAAACATGATTAGTCAGTACCTTAATGATCTTTTCTATATGTGAATCGTTTCTAATCTGCGTCCCTATCGTAAAGTAAAGAAATACAAAATAATAGAATAAAACATACCCCACTGTTCCAGGAAATAAATGAAAACTTGACATTCCAGAAAGAAACTGCAGAAGTTATTTTTCGGAGTGGAAATGTCGCTAAAAATACAATTTGACGTTTGTGATTATTTATTTAGTAGTCCTTTGCAGATAAACTTTGGTTGCATTTCATCTAATCAAATACGTTCTTCATTTTAAATGTGTCTGACCAGCAGAGGATAGCAGCTTGTAGCCTTGAAGTCAGAAGTGAGAGCTTCCAGTTTTCGAGATAAACCAAAACCTTTACTGTCGGTGACCTCGTTTGAATCCAATAAACAAAAGGGTGGAGTCTGAAATATGGGGTGGAACCTGATGCGATTGCTCTCCCGAGTACCAGTTGATGGTTGGCTTCTGTTAGCTTACGTTTTTGTTTAAAAAATAAGTCAGCCTTACTTCCTATTGCAGACCATACAAGTCCGGAGCAATAAAGACAGAGATCAGATTCGGCTTTGTTCCGGCTGGAGGGTATGGTATTAGACAGGCGTAATGGGTGTGAATATGGGAGGTCTTTGTATAAATAAATAAAGTTGGGACTAATTAACATGCTACGTGTTGCCTCTAGGTCTCGGCAACCAGCCCCGTTGCTAAGATGCTAAGCTGTCACCGGGAGGAAAGTGTTCAATTTCATTGCACATATCACAGTCACTGGAGACAACAAAAGAGAAGCGCATGTTTGTGGAAGATATGCCTAATAGACTCGCGAAACGCGAAGCTAGATGTTAAAAGGTAAAACACCTTAATATAAATGTATTTACGCAATGATTTAACCTAGAATTTGTTTCCCCCACTGTGCTTTACAAATCCAAAGAGACCTAACAATTTAGCATCCAGGTCACTTTAGGAGAGCAAAGCGCTCACACTGATACACATGTTAATACATATAAAACCAATTCCATTTATTCGGTGGAGTCATTATTTTAATCACTTTAATCTGCCTTTCTCTTAAAGATTTTTCTCTTAATGCGTTTCGCTTTTAAGCTTTTTGTTTTTTTTATTTTAGTGATGAAAAACTGCAGGTTAGGTGAAAAAATAAACTGGATAGTATTATTTTAACAAGGCACGAATCAATGTTGAAAACAGATACAAATGTTTTAGTTTAATCGAGATTGCGCTGTATAAACAGTTGATGTTTAAAAACAAATGAGAACGAAAAAAAACTTTTTTTTCAGCTACAAGTTAATGTTTGAGATACAAATGTGCAAGTCTGTTCAGCAGGATAAAATGTAGCATTTGATTTAAGTGCATTTTAGAATGAAAACATTATTTTTCTCAAAGAGCAACGGGTAGCTGGATCAAACCATTCAGTCCTGGATTAAAAATTAGATCCTCCACAAAAGGACTGGATGAGACTAAAGCATAAGAAAGCAAGTAGCAACCAAGTGAGCTCAATTGGCCAGCGTCAGCGTCAAAGAAAAATTCTATTTTCTTCTCAGCTGTGGATTTTATTCATACAGCATTTGCTTACTGCAGATTAACCGTTTTAGAATCTTAATGGTCAGTGACAATTTAGAACAGCCTAAAAAGAAAATAAACACTTTCAATCCAGAATTTTTATTCTGTTGCTGAGAGTTTGCTGAAGCCTAAAATTTATTGAAATGCAGATGGCCTTAATTCTCAAATTTTATAATTTTAGCGCCCCATTTTTAGGGTCTTCTAAATTCACGAGAGGTTAACACCAGCTTTTGGACTAATCCTAAATCAGTTCCTGTGATTTTCCATTGTTGTTTCTGACAGCTTTAATCTAATCCAGTGTTGGTTTGTAGTTTACAGCCAAGCCGGGCCTTTTGAAAAAGATGATTTTTTAAGTTTAGTTATAATTGACTGCACACGATATTACAAAGTCAAACTTAGAAAAGTTTTAAATGTTCAAATGTGCTTATTAAATGTGTGGTTGAACAATGTGGCATTCAAGTTATTTCCCCAAATGACCTAGGATTGGCAGAATGTCACCAACATGAACTTCATTTCCAATGTAACTTTCGTGTATACAGTACCTGTAATATTAAGTCCTGGTCCAGGGGTGTCACAGCCCTTTAGATTTTATAAGTAAGTTGTAATCCTCAATAAGAAAAGACCCAGTGGTGACACAGATCAGTTAAGTGAACAATTGATTCAAATAAAATTATTAACAGTCTGAGTGGAACGAAAGAGTTGTGACTATGGTTCCTCATGTTGCAGTAAACAGGTTATCCTCATTTTATTGCACAACAACTACCCAAAAGACCTAAGCCAATTAATCAAATTATTGCTCTCGCAATCATCTGGACAGCAGCTACTTGACCATGTAAGAAATACATTTAAATTGCAATTATTAATTGCTTTGGAAGTGAAAGAATGAAGCATTAACTAAATGACATAAAATTGTCAATAATGAGGAAATTGTCAGTGACCCAATTTCTAAAGAAACTATTAAATAGTTTAGAACCCATGGAAAGTGTGCCAGGAACACAACTTGCCTTGTCTATTTTGAGAATGGTTTAAAACATTTTAACACTTTTCTATACAACTTAGGCAATAACATTCGGGTAGTAGTTTTATAATGCATTCTCTTTCAAGGGCTACCCAGGACAAGGGGCACCACTGCAAAGAAAGCAATGGCTTTGAAATTGTGGAAGAAATCCAAGGCAATACTTACCTCTCTGCCAACACAGATGGCCTTTTGCAGCAGCTCTTTTACTGCACACTTTGCCATAGAAAGTTGACTGGATGTAAGGCTCCATTTAGTTACCGACAACATGAGGGTGTTATGTTCACAGTGATTGAGGGAACCTAAAATCTCTGTGAGAGTGTGGGTTGGGAATCTGTTTAATTATTGCATACCAGTCTGAACACCTCTTTATATCCACATTGAACGGAGTCAATTTCCTTCAGAATTCAGACTGGGGATCTGAACGGATGAAGAATGTCATACATGATTAGAGATCCCCTCTCATGTTTTTCTGCCCCATAGCTATGGGAAGGATCTCAATAAATGTTTTAGTTACCACATTCAAGGTCGCAAGTGAAGTTGTGAGATTCAGAGATTTTGTGTAGGATTATTTTAGAGACTTTATGGAAAAAGAACAACAAATCTAATAAATTGATTTTAATTAAAAAAAAAAAGTTTGGAACAAAGCTTGAGTCTTATGATCCATTATTTTTTAATCAAAGACCGTACTGTCCCTGGCTGGGTTTGAAACACCAAGCTTTCAGTAACAGCAGACCACACTGACCAATTCTGCCACATAGACATACACACTACAGTTTTATAATCCAAAAAAATGCAGGTTTGAGTCTGTACTATGTCTTTAGCTGACTGTGACCTGAATTCTACAAATTGAATGTCATCTGGGTTAGCTAGGCTTGAGCCACCTATGGTATCCTTAGCAACTTACTAAAATTAGGATTGTTTGGTCATAGGATTGAAAATGAGTTGATTTACAACTGTCAATTCCATATTTGGGGCAGTACGACAACAAAAATAGTTTTCAAACCCACAAATATGTTTGCATAGCTTTACAATGAATTTAGAACTCAGCATTCTGTTCTCTATTTCACAAAAACAATATGTATTGAAATATAATCTGATTAATATGATGTCTCTGGGAGCTAGTCTTAGAGAACAGTATTGATGCGATAATATTTTGTAGTTTTTATAACTACCCCAAGCACAGCTAACATATCTTTTTTTCCCATGGCTTGAACATACCTTCCCTGGCAAATTTTGGTATGGTCTTGTTTTGAAAGCTTAATGCTGACATATTGTATCATGAGTTATTTTGGGTAAATTTTAAAATGAATAACCTGTTTAGTGCTGTGTTAAAAACATGTTTAGTGCATGTTTTAATGTTTATTAACTTTTCAATGATGGGCATAACAACCTCTTGTTTATCTACTGTACAATTACAAAAAGCTTTATTAGAAAAAACATAAACCTGAGTAGCAGGCAAACAGCTGTCACTTATACAGTCAAAGCTGATCACAATATGAAAATGGGTATGTGATAGACCCTACCAAGGTAGTTCGAGGGTCAACACACACACACAAAATTATAATTACAAAAGGAAGTCCTGAAACAGGGAAACAAGGAATTCTTGTGTTACATCTACATAAAATAGCTTATTTGTTCCAGGATAGGCTCAAGGTCTCCTGGGACTGTATTAGATAAAGCATTTAGAAAATGAGTGGATGGATAAGTTATTTCTCAAGACAAGGCTAACATTTTATGCTGCTCTCAATCACCTACAGCTGAAGGTAGTTTTGCACTTCAGGGAAATGGGTAGCATGAAATCATTTTTAAAAATATACCTATATGACATTTGACATTTAAGTGCATAATGTAAATGTAGATCAAATAAAAGCTACATGACAGAATATCAGTAGTACTTACTAGTATTACTTGGAGGTATTTTATAGTTAGAGTAAATGAAATACCAGATTTCTAGAGTAAATGAAGAACTAGGTTTAATGTTACACAACAATATTCTCACAATATATTTGTTGTCTTTTTGACGGTTATTCATTAAATGGATATCATTAGTCTCTAATTATTTAAAATTCTAGGAAAAAAAAGTTAGTTTTATCAAGAGTTCTTTTTTATCGTGCCACATGATTGCCTGACAACCAGTTAGTTACTTGTGGAATTGCATTGTTCTTGCATTTTTGTTAATGTCCTGAATATAATACCAGGAGTGTTAAAGTGCAACATTAGATGAAAAATTTCACTACTTTCACATGATATACAATATCTCTCATGAAGAATGACAGAAAACTATACAAACACGCATTAATCCTCCAAATTTATATATGACATACAGTCATATACTATACAGTCCTCAATATAATAATGGGAATTACAATTTCTTACCATTTTACTCTTGTTTAATCAAAACTGGGTTTTTCTAACTGAGAAAAAGAGGGTTTATATTTACAATTTTATGTATTTTGAAACACGATGATGTACTGTATAGTATAAAGTAAAAAAGAATAATTAAGAACTCTGTGTGAAATATAAAGCGAACCTGGAGTTAGCAGAATAAGAGAGGTAAGTAGAACTCACCTGGTTAAATAATTGGAAAACGTAAACTAGTTTGTACTACACAATGGTCAGAAACTTTGTAAGCTTGGTCTTCACAATACAGGTTTGAGGAATCATATGATGCCACAATCAAAAGAGATTTCAGAGGACCTCTGAAAAAGAGTAGTTTATGCCCATTAAACTGGAGACGCCTTTTCTAAAAATCTAGGGCTACACCCACCCAATGTCAGACAGATAATCTACAAATGGGAAAGAAAATAAATTCTTCATCTTTTATTTAGACTTTCCTAATGAACTATTAACGTTTTAGGTCTAGAATATACAAAAATGGACCAAAATGGGGGTTCACAAACTTTGTCTGCACTATACATGATTTCATTTTTTAACAAGTTATTTATTTTTTAATGTTGCTGTGTGTCACAATTTTAGCTGGATAATGGTAGTAACATTAATGACATTACTGTA